CTATTTTAATAAATTACGTGGTATCGGATCGGTGCCTGGACTCCAGTACTCGCCGATACCGATGCCAGCATTTTCGGCAGTATCGGAGACATTTCCCATACCGGTATCGGAATCTCTACATTTGAAGGAGCCATTTGACTTTTCCAATAACAAATGGGGCTCTTGTTTAGGGGTCCTCTGACCCCCTAGGTCACTGGGCCTGTGCCTGGTAGGCCTGTTCACTGCAGCCATATCTCTCCTCCATTTTAAGGCCAAGGAGAACCTACCATATCAGGTTAAAATGGGTGTTTTCTTAAAGCAATGAATGCACTATTTGTTCATTTGAAACAATAGTCGGAGTCAAGATTCATTTCTTTTGGCAAGAGCATAAACGAAAATAAATGTTACTTTGGGAGAACTTCTTGCATTCCTTCTCTGTTGGCACATCAACAGTGGAAAGGGGCGGGAGAAGGAGAACAGCATGCAACACAGTGTGCCCCATTTTGGGACAAAGTGACACAGAAAAGTAATAGGAGCAGGCAGGGCTGTTCAGAGCTAGTTTGCAGCAACTACAGCTCAGCTCAAGGCGAGGGTGTGAGCTTTGTTCTCCTCCAAGCTTCAGTAAGACTTACCAATGCTCCAGCCCACCTCCAAGCTGCAGGAGCAGTCTGTTGTGTGTTGTACTAGATGGGTAGGATTTATTAACGCTGATTAATTATGCATAAAGAAACATATGGCAGTATTTGGCTTCTCCTGTTACGTGAATATCAATTACGGGTGTAATTAGGGCAAGGAGGGCATCCCCAGCTTTTGGTGTCATTACAGTGAACCGTGTCTATTACTGTAACTTAACAAATGAGAAAAATCACAGCTCACGATGGAGATTTTAAGTGCCGTACTCGATGTAATCCGAATCCACAGGAAAGCCTGAAACAGCACATAAAGGCCCGAGTGCTGAATGCTTTTATGTGAAGCACTTAAGAGTCGCAAAAGTGCATTTATTTTTAACTTATCATGCCATTATCAACTGTCAGACCTACACCCCTGCAGATTTTGCGCTTGTTTTGCAGTCTGCAAGCAGCTAACGCCTCAACCTCGGTTTCTTGAACAAGATGACTCCAATTCCTTCAACAGTTTCAACTCGAATCTGCCCAAATGTTCCCACGAAAGCCCTGCACACGGCCCACTCCCAAACCCGACGACAGCTACCTCACCGGTTAATCAGCAACCAAAATTACCTTATTAGCTGCCTCCACCTTGGCACAGACGGCATCCATAGCTGCCCTCTCCTCCAGACGACGGGCTTTCTTCTCCTTTGCTCTGTTGGACTTCCTCTGGACACGGGGAATAAGGGAGGGATGAACAGAGGAATGTGTTGAGATGGTGGTGGACATGCAGAAGAGAAAAGCAGAAACATTAGGAACAGATGACACGGACCTTATGGAAGACAGGAGTAGTACATCATTTCTTCCCCTGTACTCCTTATTCCACCATCTTCTGAACACTAATGTGTGTTTGATAAAAACAGGACTTTATACCCTAACCCAGGCTAGCAAGAAACAAAGAACTGTAACGATCTACTCATTTATTGAAAATCTTTAGCATTTTTTGTCACTTAATCGATCCCCTGCTCCATTTCCCGTAATCAATTACACATTCAAACTGATCCTTTTTCTTATCTATATATCCACTGTGGGGCTGGAGGTATGAGTTAGTGTTTGCTGGCTCTGGTTAGATATAACTCCATTCTCCAATGTGCCTACAACTAAAATCGACTGAAGACTTGTACAGTCAGAACAGTCATGAACAGGGATTGCAGTATTTTGGTACAAAAGCATAAGAAGAGCGAGCTTGTCAGATAAGATGTCATTAAAGCGGGTGGCAGAGATCAAAGAGCGTCCGCACACAAAATGTCAAATGTCATTTATTAGCTACCACATTCAGCTCGTTCATTCAGTGAGTGTGACAAAAGAAGAAATGCTCTTCTGTTGATACCACTTGAGTACTGTATAGTCTTTGTTAGAGCCATAACGTCAGGCTATATTTAACAGAAAATGTTTTGTTTTTTATTCACTTATGCGCTTGCAGGCCCTTTAAATAAAAATAACCACTATTATTCTGAGTTTCTGTGTGTGTGTGTGTGTGTGCTGACCCTGCGTTCTGTCACACACATCAACGTGAAAACACTGACTTACTGACACAAGAACAGAACAAACCTCAAAACCTCACAACAAGTACAACCAGAGACATCAAGGCATGACAACCAAATGAAGGTCAGTCACGCAGAACAAACACGAGTACACTTACACAGAAAACAATCTTACTACTATTATAAACATGATCATCCTGTCTATAAATACAGCAACAGCAAGATAAAAAAAAAAAAAGAGCATTCATATTCATATCAGTAGCTATTATGACCGACATTTAATCAATACTGTGTAAAACAGTGGGGTGTTTATATTGCTGATGTTGCATTTTGTTCTTGGTGTGGAGCTATAGTATTGGGAATTTTCTGATACTGATACTGTAATTTAGCCTGCTCTTGGCTTGACGTCCGATAGTAGTATCAGCAATGGTGCAGCCATAATTCACACGTATTACTCTGACTGCGTCCAGGCCTCGCAAAAGAGACAACACGCACAACAGATGCTGTAAACGTGCTTCAACCACGACAGCACACACACTACCATAAATAGTGATTATTAGCCGTCTCCAATTATTGTCGCCTGTAATTTCTAGAGAAAATTAACACCCACTGGCTCACAGCAGAAGTGGTCTGACACTTGAATTTAATCTCATGGTTTCTAACAGCGCTATTTTCTGGGCTAACTACTGCACGGTGGTACTGAAAGGATTAGTCGTTTAACCCCAGGAAATAATCAGAGGCAGTTAATTAATCATTTAAATCATTAAACCAAGGAAAAACACTATCATTTCCCTTTTTTTCCAGCTTCTCAAATGTGAGGA